CATGGCGGCCCCGCGTTTTGGCGCCCCCCTCACACGGGTCGTGGCCCCCACCCCTCACACGCACACGGTGCATGGCCCCACAGGGGGCTCCACCGAAATCCCCAGTGCCATGGTTCGCACGGCGGCCCCGCCCCATGGTGGCGCATCCCTCACTCTGTTCGTGGCCCCATAGGGAGCTCCACCGAAGGCCTCAGTGGCAGGGTTCGCATGGCGGCCCCGCCCCATTTGGGGGCGCACCCCTCACACGGTTCGTGGCCCCCTAGGGGGATCCACCGAAGGCCCCGGTGGCAGGGTTCGCATGGCGGCCCCGCCCCATGTTGGCGCACCCCTCACACGGTTCGTGGCCCCATTGGGAATTCCCCTTGCTTCGTCCCACCTGTCCTGCGGTTCTCACACGTGCGTATGGTTGGGTCCTTCACAAGGATAATGTTCTGGTGGCCAAGGCTGAAGTAGGTTGGAGCATCATAACCCTCTCAAGAAATCCCGACCGGCGGTGTCACAAGCTGGGGCCTCCTGGGCGGTGCTCCAAGTGTGGACAGATAGTGCTGCGCTGGCAGGGCTGCGGAACCTGCCGTGAGGCAGCTGAATATAAACGACCACACCCTGGGGAAACTGCTGCCCATGGGCTGCACATGCTCAGTTACAGTGCCATCGTACTGCTGATGCAGGCTAATAAGAGTACGCGTACATACGGCGCAGAAACATTCCTCGAGCACCTCTCCCTCCTCCTCCTCCTCCTCTTCTACCTCCTCCTCCTCCTCCTCCTCCTCCTCCTCCTCCTCCTCCTGGTGCTCCTCCTCCTCCTCCTCCTCCTCCTCCTCCTCCTCGTCGCAAACCTCATCTCCTGCTCCTTCTCTTTCTGATACCGCGACAATGCGGCAAAGTACGCTTAGCGCGCGGAACTCCCGTTGAGCAGCTCTGGACCCCCTTGATTAGCAAGACATTGAAGGCCCACGAAGACGCGGCCAAACGACACGTTGCTTGCCGAAGTCTCCTGTAGATACGGATGCGTCTCGTCCTCTTCTCTCCTCCCCAAACCGCTCACTCCTTCTCAATATCCTGCCCATCCCCCCCTCCTCGCCATCCTCCTCCTCCTCAGCATCCTCATCCCGATCGTCCTCCCCCATACGTACTCCTCCCAGTCCGCCTGCCACTCCCAGGCGGTCCCGATTCGTCACTCCTGCCGCATGTTTTTAGAGCGTGTTGGGGCTTGACCACCGAGCCCGCGTCCAACTCATGTAAAGTGATGATTCAGAAACATCGGGCCCGATTATAAAAACTGGCTTCTGTCGGTGAGGAGCATTGTCGGGAGGGAACGGCCAACTGACAGATCTCAACGACGACGATGACGCCCGAGCGCAGGCACGGAACCGAGACCATTCATCATCGCTCAGGGCGTTGCTGCGTGACGGCCCCCTGGACGTTGTTTGATCGCCATCCCAAATTCAGCCTGCACGCCCTCCTCTTTGGAAGATTCCTTGTTTGAGCAGGGACCGACCGTCCCGGCAGTCCTATAGGCCTACCACGATATGTTCTTAGAACCCAAACAAGTTCCAGGACCAATTACCCTGGCGACGTACCCACCCCCTGCGCAATGCAGGGCACTAGTAGTCTGGGACACGTTATACAGAGGTGATGACGTGACATGGGCGCATATAATTCTGCAAGCGGCATTCGCGAGGCTCGCAGCCCCCCAAGATGGCGAAGTCCGGCTAAAATCTGCGTGGTGCCTCACTCCGCTGGACCCGCCAGCAGCCCTCGAAAGTGGCGACAATTTTTCCGATCGCAGCCCCCCAAGGACGGTGAGGTCCCGCTCAAATCTGCGCGGTGCGTCACTCCGCTGGACCCACCAGCAGCCCTCGAAAGTGGCGACAGTTTCGCCGATCCCAGCCCCCGAGGGCTGGCGAGGTCTGCCTCAGATCTGCGTGGTGCCTCACTCCGCTGGATCCCCACCAGTAGTCCTCGAAAGTGGCGATGACAGTTTCGCCGATCGCAGCCCCCCAGGGACGGCGAGGTCTACCTCAGATATGCGCGGTGCCTCACCCCGCTGGACCCACCAGCAGCCCTCGAAAGTGGCGACGGTTTCGCAGATCGCAGCCCCACAGGGACGGCGAAGTCTACCTCATATCTGCGCGGTGCCTCACTCCGCTGGACCCACCAGCAGCCCTCAAAAGTGGCGACGGTTTCGCAGATCCCAGCCCCCGAGGGCTGGCGAGGTCTACCTCAGATCTGCGCGGTTCCTCACTCCGCTGGACCCACCAGCAGCCCTCGAAAGTGGCGACAGTTTCGCAGATCCCAGCCCCCCAGGGACGGCGAGTTCTACCTCAGATCTGCGCGGTGCCTGACTCCGCTGGACCCACCTGCAGCCCTCAAAAGTGGCGACGGTTTCGCCGATCGCAGCCCCCCAGGGACGGCGAGGTCCACCTCAGATCTGCGCGGTGCCTCACTCCGCTGGACCCAGACCAGTAGCCCTCGAAAGTGGCGACGGTTTCGCCGATCGCAGCCACGCCAGGGACGGCGAGGTCTACCTCAGATCCGCGCGGTGCCTCACCCCGCTGGACCCACCAGCAGCCCTCGACAGTGGCGACGGTTTCGCCGATCGCAGCCCCTCAATCCGCTGGACCCACCAGCAGCCTCGAAAGTGGCGACGGTTTCGCAGATCGCAGCCCCCCAAGGACGGTGAGGTCTATCACAGATCCGCGCGGTGCCTCACTCCGCTGGACCCACCAGCAGCCCTCGAAAGTGGCGACAATGTCGCCGATCGCAGCCCCCCGGGGACGGCGAGGTCTACCTTAGATCTGCGCGGTGCCTGACTCCGCTGGACCCACCCGCAGCCCTCGACAGTGGCGACGGTTTCGCAGATCGCAGCCCCACAGGGACGGCGAAGTCTACCTCATATCTGGGCGGTGCCTCACTCCGCTGGACCCACCAGCAGCCCTCGAAATTGGCGACAATTTCGCAGATCGCAGTCCCAAGCCAGGGACGGCGAGGTCCCGCGGGAGACAGGAGGCGGGGAGGCAGGAGGCGGGAGGAGGAGGAGAAGAAGGACGCGACCGCGGTGCTCTATTCAAAATGAATACTTAACCAAGGAAGGTTGGGTAAACATGTTCTCTGAACATGGGCCCGATGCGTTGAAACAAGACGGTCCCGGCCCGACATGTTCTAAGAACATTTCGTGCAGACCACAAAAGGTTCTTAGAGCACTCTTTGGTTTGGTGGGCTCATAATTAGGCGAGCCAGGACGCTCCGCCACTGCTCAGTATCGTTTGTCTGACCCCCATCCCCAGCCTCATCCCCTCCGAGACCCCCACCTAATCGCCACCCCAGTTGGGGATGCACCCCTCGAAGCCCGCAGGGGACGGCCTATACATCCCCATCCAGGGCGGCACATCGGCCAGTGGGACCCAGGCCACGCCGCTGGGGATGGGGATCGGACGAACGATGCCCAACTGCCAGAAGCTTGTGCCTCTCGGGACAGGCCCTGGCACCCGGGCCCAGCTCGCCGGCTCCTCGGGGATCTTCTGACCCGGGTCAATCCAGACCCGGGTCAGTCAGGCCTTGCAGAATCCTGCAAGATCCTGCCAGATCCTGCACCCAAACCAAGGTCCATGCGAAGGCTCCTGCAGGATCCTGCAGGATCCTGCAAGATCGTGGACACCGACGCCAAGATCGGCGGTGTGCACCCACCGAGGTAAGAAGATCCCAGCCTCGGTGATGGTGGTCATACTCTTAGGGGAACAAGAAGTGGCATAAACATAAAAACTCGAAGGTCCGCGCGGATTTCTCGGATCGGTGTTGGGGCCCCCCCGGCGGCGCCTCCAGCGCCGCCCCTGGCGCGCTCCGCGCGCCAGGGAGAGGGTCCAGCGCCGATCCGAGAAATCCGCGCGGACTTCCGAGTTGTTATGTTTATGACACTTTTTGTTCCCCTAATTCGGGCTTCCAGGGCGACCGAAATATGACAACCAACACCGAAACCTAGGATCATCTTCCCCGTGTGCGGGCAAACCCCTGCGTTGGCGTTGGTGCCCATTTCCAGGCCTGAAATTGGGCCGTCTTTGGCGGTCATCTGACGGTCTCCCGTGGTCTTCAGCGTCTCAAGTGGGTCCAAAATCGATTCCCTATCTGGGAGTGCCGATACCGCTACTCGCCGGACCTCTCCTGGGGTGCGCTCTGACCAGAATTTCGAGGCGAATTCAGCCGTGTCGACGAGGGCCTCCAAGGAGACCCAAAAAGGGGAAAACGAGGGAGAGTTAGCGGTATGGATACTTCTCTTTTTTTGGAAGATCGTGCCCCCAACGCCCCAAGCCCTGCACCGACCTCTGCGCACGCATGGGCGTTTACACCACACCTGTCGGATGCAATCCATGCGAGCAAACGCACACACAAGAATTGGTGCTTGCGGCGGGCGGAGCCCACCCACAGAGTCTGCAAACTTAATTCTGCACCTGCGGCAGGACGCTCTTGACTACCTACCAAACCACCCCAACCCAACCCGAAGACCCGAATCTGACCCGAATTTCGACTTGGGGAGGGGGTACGGGTTCCATGTGTTTTTTCAATGTTCCCCGACCCCCCCCCCTGGAAATGGAGGGCAACTTGAGGCCTTCAGGTTTGGCTGGGGTGGTTTGGTGGGTGGTGAGCTCTGCATCTGCTCTGTGAACGCCAGTGTGCGGCCCAGCACCGGCGCCCCCCCTCTCTTGTCCGCAACTGCAGGGGGGGGGACTAATTAGGGTAGCCTTAGGTCGGGCCTGTCCCCCTACAGGGGGATGTGGGAAGAACAATTGAAGGTAGTAGGAAAATACTCCCCAACTGCTCAAAAATAATCAAAGCATCGTCCCTGGACTATTTTTTACAATTTTTGATCGAGCCTGCCTAGGTTGTGGACAGGGTGATCTACAAAGAAATGCTGCACGTGCTTGTCTCTGCCTCTTCTCTGACAGTGATGGTGTTGAACTCCGTACCTCTATCTTCACACCCGTGCGAATAGAGACGACGTGAGCCTTCTCGACAATCGCCCAGTTCTGCGGCTGCTTGACGTGATCCACCTCTTGACAAAGTGCCCATGAGCAAAGATGGCGATGCACCACCCAATCAGCAGTTCACGCATGCTCGCTGCCTTGCTGGGGACGCGCCCCCACCGTCAGCAGTTCATGATGTAGGTTCGGCCCTCTAAAGTGTCCTGCGAACAAGCTTCAAAATCAAGTTCCCCTCATCCTCCTCCTCATCCTTTTCCTCTTCCTGCTGCCCCTCCGCCTCCTTATCCTTAGCAAACCTGCTAACTCGGCCTTCCCATCCAGCTCCAAAATACGCCGACGCTGTCGGCGTCTGCGCGTGGCCCCACATCTCACATATGATCTGCAGGCGAGACCATAATCGGATCGATACGTCGGATCGGCGACCGAAATGAATCAAATCTGCGGAAATCGGCAGCCAAGTCGGGAGGAGTCACATCGGCGGAACTCGGACGGCTAGTACTGCCTCCATTGAGAAATCGGAATCGAAAGCCGGGGAATCCATTGGGAAATCGAAACCATTGAAGCCATCGAAGCCATCCATCGACTCCTGCTGGATGCCTCCATGGGAAAATCGGCCTTCAATAGGAGTCGATTCGAGTCTGAATCGGAATCCATCGAAATCGAGTCGAATCGACTCGAACCGGAGAAATCGAAATAGGCGCTGATCCGGTACTCTCCCCGCCGTTCCTTACAAAACCTTCCATGCGTGAGACGCCTCCCATGGAATGCTCACCCCTGCACACTTCCGATCTTCCTGTGTCCTTCCCGTGCTGGTACGCCCGCAGTGAGTCGGCGAAACGACATACACTTCCTCGTGATCCCTTCCCCGAGATGTTGGGGTTCCAGGGGGGGCGAAGGAAAGAGCGCCCCCCTGACTTGCCTTCCCTCGATGGAGCAGCGTCACTCGGAATGGAGTCCAACCTCGAAGATGAGGATGCCCGAGATGGTCCCAGTGGCCCGTACAGAAGCAACTGTGAAGTCGCCTGGGCTGCTTGAATGCCCGCGGGGTTGCCCAAGAGAAGCAGGTCTTGTACTGTGCGATCTTGATGTATTGGTTCATGGGGTCTTCTGGGCGTCCAAGGCTGCCCCACAGGCTGCAACGATCGACCCGAGACGGCCCCCGAGCTTCCCACAAGGGCCACAGGGCCCCCAAGACGGCAGAGGGGCTACAGGGGGAGGGGACCGAGGAGGGGAATTTCAAGGCGCCCACCCAAGAGGAACTCCGGCCCGCGAGCGAGCAGGCTCAGCAGGGGCCCCCAGAGGGCCACCGACAGGCCCCCCAACGACGGCCTCGGGAGAGGCCCCCGAGAGGCCTCCGTCAGTCCAGGCGGCGCCCCCTCGGGGCGGCCTCCGAGAGGCCACTGGTCCACTACGGCAGCACGACGGCGGGACGAGCCGAATGCCACAATCCGCCGCCCCCTGTTGATTCATCACAGGGGCCTGGCGTGCTGAACCCTTTCGCTTTTGGTTTTGGTTCTTTTTCCAAAAGAGCTCCCCCTGGGGCTTCGGCCCGTCCCGCCGGCCACCCGAAAGGCCGCACAAGGCAGCATAAACCACCCCAGCGTCCACACAAATTCTCCAAGACGGCTCAAGATGGCCTCTAAGATGGTCACATTGGCCCAAGATGGCCTACAAAACGGCCTCCAAGTCAGCAAGGATGGTCCAAGATGGCTTCCAAGACGACCCGAGAGAGTCCAAGATGCCTTCAAGTTCGTCCAAGACGGCTCCAAGACGGCTCAAGATGGCTCCAAGATGGCCTAAGACTGGCACAGAGGCCCCCCCCAAGAGGCCTCCAAGACGTCCTCCAGGAAGGCCCGAAAGGGCAAATATCATTGATGCTCCTTAGGTTTCTGAGTTTTTGAAGGATTTGGGCATTTTCTTCTTATCAGCTCTCCGACGGCCCAAGAGGCACCCAACATCGTGCGAAGAGGCCCCGAAGACGCCGAAGATGGCCTCCAAGACGCCGAAGATGGCCTCCAAGATGCCTCCAAGACAGCCGCAAGAAGGTCTCCAAGACAGCGAAGATGGCTCCAAGATGCACCCAAGACGGCCCCAGATGGCCTCACGATTACCTTAGACTGCCCAAAAGGCCTGCCAGAGGCCTCCAAAACGGCCCAAGACCCCTTCAAGACGTCCTCCAGGAGGCCCGAAAGCTGAAACCACCTGGTCCGGTAGCTCGCCCGACTCCGTGTTCCCCGAAGGCTTTCGAAACCCACTCGGGGAATGCGTGGCCTGATAGCTTGGCCAAGCTCAAACCCAACTTTCGGCCACGCAGGCGCTTCCAAAAAGGCAGGGGGCGGCTGTGATTCGCCGTAGGCGTCTTCGATCCGCCGAAGGGTTCCAACAACAGCTGGCGATGAAGCCACGTCGGCTTTCCTGAGAGAGTTTGTGGGCCGTGTCGTTGGCCCTCGGAGTTTGGGAAAGGGAGCGTCGCGGGTGCACCCCGGATCGTCCAGAGGACCGTCCAGAAACGGCTCGGGACGGAAGCCGTGGGCGTCCTTAGGTCTTCTGCCACTGGTTAGGGCCGCCA